GTCAACCACTCTACTACTACTACTTATCAAGAGCTGAGGTGCAGGCCAGTGGTGCAGGGTTGGGGTGGTGGTGAGAGGATTCACTAGAGTCATAGTGGGGAGCAGAACAGACAAATGTACTGAACACATTGCTGAGGGCAGCAGGTGAGACAGGAGAGGTCTGCTGTGCCATGTGGGTCACCTCCCTGCCTGGAATCGAACTCGTGCTGCAGTGGCTGCAGTAGCTTCATAGTGCTGCATCTCAACCCCTTGCACCACCAGTGAGGCCCCCGAACCACTCTTCTTCTGATGTAGTCTGATTGTATGGGCTGTGCTGGTGGCTGCACTCACTGCTGGACCTGAAAGTTGGAATCAACTGAAGTTTTTTAATATGGATGTAATCAGGCCCTCCCTGGTGGTGCAGTGGGTAAGGATACAGCACTGCAAGCAAGCTGCAGCCGCTTTATGTGAGTTTGACTCCCAGTCCTGGAGGTGCCATGGCGTGGCAGACCTCTCCTGACCTGCCTGCTGCTCCCCTCAGCAGTGTACTTCATCCATCAGCCTGTTCTGCTCCCCACTCTGTCTCTGGTGAAGCCTCTCACGGCCCCTGCACCTCTGGCTTATACCCCAGTTCTGTATGCACAAATAAATAAATCTTTAAAAAAAATACATGGATGTAATCAGTTGGCCAAGGCAGGATGCTGCAAAGGCCTGAAGAGTGCCATGCTGAAGGTTAGAGTGCACGCCATGGGGAGTTAGCAGTGTCCATGGTGTGATTTTTTTTTTTTTTTTCAGGGGGCAGGTCAGACACAATTAGAATGAAGAGCGTCATAAACCACAGTGGAATGAGTGAGAGCGAGGCACAAAGTAGCATTTAAGAACAAAACCTAAAATCTCAATTAATGTGCCTGAGATTTAGGACCTGCCTGTCTGTCAATCAGACTCCAGATGTCTAGGTAGATACTTGATCGGGACAAAAACTGTCATTGTATCTCTGCAGTCAAACTGGCACCAGAGAAATACTGTTTTTTATGTTTACAATGTGAGGATGGAAGGACAGTAAACCACTGTATCCCAAAGTGATGCTGACTAAAAGCTAGCAACTGTGGCTACTCGGATAGATACTTTGGGGCATGTCTGTCCTGTCGTGGTGGTGATGGGCAGTCACTTAGGAAATGCTCTGTGGTGCAGTTCAGGTAGAGGGCGCCTGTGACCTGTAGTGAGTGCACAAAGGATCGCCCTGGTCAAAGTCCAGGTCAAATCTGAGTATGCTCAACCTAGTAACATTTGAAATTACATTAATTATAATTGACTTCCTACTGTATTCTTACAGTTATGGGCCATAATAGGAGTCCTTTAGGGTCCTGATATAATCACACCTTTCCCGCCGAGACAGCATATGCTTTCTTTCCATGTTACGTTTTGTCTCGTGGAAACATCACTTGCAGGTCTCTGTATAGAACCTTTTTCATGTCATTTTGGGGCCACCTTCTTCACGGTTCTTTGGGTAAGTATCAATCGTCTCTATCCATAGGCAAACATGAATATGTGCAAATCATTGGGCAGGTGGAATGTACTTAGAGCTGTCCTGCTTTACCCCCTCTAGGAATCTTGTGACACACTTGCTTATAGTGTTACAGGAAGGGAGAGGGGCACCACTGAACCCCCAAACCTGCCTACTCTAAATAGTTTCTGCCATCCGCCGCATCAACAGAAAACATGTCAGACTTTAATGAAAAGGAACTTTAATACAGTGAGTATACAATACAGAAGACAAAGAATATAACTTTTAAGTCAAACACCTGAAGTTACTCATCCCCACTTGGGCAAAAGGCAACCCAAAAGGGATTGGTCCAAAGCAAGGCCTGACAGCCTGCCACAAGCCTAAAGCACCTTCTGGCTGAGACCCATAGGGAAGGGTCAGAAATGGCCAGACAAGTCTGGGAAAAAAAGAGCAAAATCAAAATCAATATAAACACTGCCGTAGACAACCTCCCCGCGGGTCTCTCACCCACATCGCTTTTAACAGTCCAAGGTGAAGAAATAAACATGTTTTTTTCACATGCTCCCTGCTCCATGTGGCTTCCTCAAGTCTCCTGGATCTCTCCATCCTGCTTCCTTCTTCCTCTCAGATTCCAACTCCTTTTCTTTTCTCTGCTCAGCTCTACCCTCCTTTTGGGTAGGGCAGGGAACCTGGAACTTCCCCTTTTCCTGGGGACCATTCTGTACAATAGCAGGACCCTGCATAAGGTCAGCCACTTTACAGCCCCTAAATGTGCACTTTTTCCCTACTCTGTACAGAGGTGTGTATTTTGGGGAGTTGTGGCTTAAGTCTTCATAACCCTGCTCAAGAGAAGAGCCTAGGTGGCCCTCCTTGGTGGTGCAACAGGTTAGGATGCAGCACTGCAAGTTAGCGACAGCTGCTTCCATGCGAGTTCAGTCCCGGCCCTGGAGGTGACCCACATGTCACAGTAGACCTCCAGTCTAGCCCTCTGCGCCTCTCAGCAGTGTACTTCGTCGATCTGCTGTTCTGCTCCCCACTCTGTCTCTGGTGAATCCTCTCACTCCCCCTGCAACTCTGGCCTGTACCCCAGTTCTGGATGAATAAGTAAATACATCTTTAAAAAAAAAAGAGAGAAGCGCCTAGAGCCACCCTAGTGGCCTAGGGCTTAAATCACAGGTCTGTCACTGCTGCTGTCTGAGTTCGATCCCTGGCTAGGGAGCTGACCCACATGGCACAGCAGATCTCTCCCATCTCTGGTGAATCCTCTCACCTGGGCCTCCCCATCCCCAACTGCTCTATTCCTCTGGCCAATTCTTGTATGCATAAATCAATCTTTTTTTGTTTTTAAGATTTATTTACTTATACAGAACTGGGGTACAGGCCAGATATGCGGAAGGTGAGAGGACTCACCAGAGACAGAGTGGGGAGCAGAACAGGCTGATCGACGAAGTACACGGCTGAGGGGAGCAGCGGGCGGGTCAGGAGAGGTCTGCCACGCCATGTGGTCACCTCCAGGGCAGGCAGGAAGGCGGGAATCATGCGGAAGTGGCCTTAAGCTTCTTAGTGCTGTGCTTTAACCCACTGCGCCACCAGGGAGGGCCTAAATCAATCTTTTTTTTAAAAAGAAAGACTAGTAAAGGACCAAAGAGTTAAAAAGGAGCCCTGAAGGAAGTCAGTGTGGAGAGGCTGGAAGGTGTGTCTACATACTCTACAAGATTAGGGTCTTCTATACAAAATACCACCAGTATCATTTCCCTAGTCCCCTAGGGGAAATACTGATTGCTGTTTGCCCCACACTCCTAGCCCCAGGTCTGAGATAGGTGTCTGCATTTGCATTTCTGGTTAGGTGCTGGTCTTGGTCTGCTTATAAACTGCTGACTCACACCCTGATACCTGGTTTTTGTTGTAGTATTGCTTTCTCTCCCCCCCCCCCGCCCCCCAGAAGGAAGTATTTCCTTTTGTGTTATTTGAGTGGTATAATATTTAAAGTCATATAAGACAGATTTAAGGGAACCCCACAAAGACTGGGGCTCCCAACAGGCAGGCAGTTAGTGGGTTTTCTCTGCCATCTTGAGCTAGGATGGAGGGAGGGTCCCTGGAGACCTTATGGGGAAGTGAGACAATTCACAAATGGAAAGAGCAAATGTTTGGTGAACAAATACTTGCTGGGCCAAGTAGAAGCAATGGGACAGGGACAGGAATTTTGAACCACAGATCTTGTGGTTCCTCCCTATCATGTTATGACCCTAGCTGTCTGGTGATAGCTTGAACCAGCAGTAAGGGCAATGTCAAAGGTCCCTCCTGAACCTTGGGCCTTGATTGCGCTCCAGACAATCCACATGTCAGAGTGCATTTGGGGGCAGCCTGTTTAGCTCCTCCACATCGGAAGTGGCTTTTCAACACATAGTCCTTTAAGGCAGAGGAATAAGAGTCTGCTATCCCAAGAACATAAAATGATTCCTTCATCTCTGTTTTTGCTTGCGTTTTCACATGTGGCTTTTGAAAAATGAAAAGTGAAACACAACAGCAGTTTAACAAGTAGATTCTTTAGATTTTCTTTATTTTTAATTTTTTTTTTTAAGATTTATTTATGTATACAAGAGCTGGGGTGTTAGCCAGAGGCGCAGTGGGGGGGGGCAGTTCGGAGGATTCAGGAGACACAGTGGGGAGCAGAACAGGCAGATCTACTTAAATACACTGCTGAGGGTGGCAGAGGGTAAGACAGGAGAGGTCTGCTGGGGGTCAGTCCCCTGTCCGGGGATCAGACTTGCTGTGGACAGCTTCATAGTTCTGAGACTAAGCTCCTTGTACCATGAGGGATGCCCTATCTTTGATTTTTTTTTTACAGACAGAACTGTCTTTATGGCTTAAGTTAGTGGAAAACTAGCTTCTTTAGACTGTAAAATGAGAATAGAAGTCAGACTTAATGAGAAATCCAAAAGTTTAAATCACCACCGATATCTATAGGAAGCCACCCTCCCTCCCTCTGTGCCTTAAGGGCGGACAGCCTAGTCTTGGTGGTCTAGTCCTGCTTTCTTTGTGTTGGTAAAAAACAATATTCAAATTAATTTATTAATCAATTCATAAATCTGCAGCACCCCATAGAGCAAGTCAAAGATGCATCCGTTTTACAAAATGTAAAGTTTTGGGTTTTTTGAAACTCTGAATTAGGGTTGAACAAGGATATTAGCAAGAGAAAAGATTCTTTGAGGCAAATTCTCTACTGGAACAGAGGAAGGGCTTATGCGGATTACCTCATTCTTTGTAGATCTGGATACTCCCCTTGATTGGTTTAAATTTCACTGTTGGGAGGGGCTGAAACAGCCTTGGGCTAGTCTTAAATTCAGGGACTTGGCCTCATCACTTCCTTTGGGTCTGTGGTTAAATGTGGTAGTGTGTGTTGCTGCCAAATGGTACCAATTTATTATTGACAGAAAAAAGAGACCACAGTTTTTTTGAGTTGTTGGCATTCAGAATGTCTTTTTAATTCAACTTTGTGTCTTTTTGTCTCGCAGGTACTTCATGCATGGGGTTTGTAAGGAAGGCGATAACTGTCGCTACTCGCATGACCTCTCGGACAGCCCATACGGTGTAGTGTGCAAGTACTTTCAGCGAGGGTACTGTATTTACGGAGACCGCTGCAGGTAAGAATTTGTTCACAAATAGTTTTGCTTAGTGGGGAGGAGTGGGAGAAGTTGGGAGAAAAAGTAATACATGAGAGCTTCATAAACATTAAGACTAATGTATTGAAAATTCCTGTGTAAGAATGTTTAAATACTGATAGAAAACTCTCAAAGGGAACATATTTAAAATAAGGTTTGTGTAATATGGCCTTAAACTTTATTAATGCTAGAAGAAGCAGCTTTTGCAATCTAGGATCAGTTTGTAGATGCCACGTCCTTTTCAAAACCAAGAATGAAGTACAGATTTGACAAGATTGGGACTTGTTTTAGGCATTCTCTGCTAATAAAGGAATTATGGTGAAGGAGTTCTTAGGCATTTGGAATTAATAGGTAAACCTTTACTGAGCCCTGAGTTTACAGGACAAATTATAAACTAAGCTTTAGGGAAATTGCTTCAGGAATGTCCTAGATAACAGGACACTAAAGGACGTTTGTGGAACAAGAGGGGTTACTAAGTAATTTCAAAGGAAATTGCCCCTAACTCTCCTAAGTTCTCATAGGCTGGTAGTCAAGTAAATGTCAAGTGTGGATAAGAAAAAAGCCCAAGAAAACTGTTGTAGTGCTAAGGTTGGTATGCTTGCTGCTTGGAGCCCCAGGAAAACTGAGTAACTCACCCACGTGGCTCAGACACCATCTTGAATTACCTCTCTAAAGACAAAAGACTTGGCCTGGGGAGAGGGGACAAGGGGTGGGTCCTTAGAGGTTACCTGGGAAGCCACCCTAAACAAAGGGACTGCACAGCTATGCAGATTTAAGTTCTGTGCGCTTGAAAAGATTGGATCTTCCCAAAGCTGCCTGGGAGAGCTCTTCCCTTGTATATGTAAATTCCTTTGCAGTGAAGGCTGAACTACCCGGCTTTCTTAGCCTCCATGAGAAAAGTCTTAAGTGGAAAACACTTGGCGGCTTATATTAATTTGCCCCCTGCACTCACCAGTCCTTGCACTGGTGCAGTCATGTTGAAGGGAGGGTCAGCAGCAGTGCGTTCTGCTGAGGGATTGGTCAGTTTATCTTTGCAGTTCAGAAAGTTTAGATTTTAACTTTCTCTTTGTATTCAAATAAATTGGAAACTGGAAACTAACAGCTTCAAAACAGTGAACATTTATCTTAGAATGGCCTAGATTGCTGTTGAGTTTTTGCCTTCTGAAGTCTTGGCAGGTCTGGATGCCCTGAACTCCACAAACTTGGGTTTTATGGGCCCCTCACCCCAGAGCAAAGCGATCCAAGGACTGCAAACCCCATCATGCTATTGATGATTTTTTTAAGAGTGAGTGGGTTTGGAGAGCAGGGTCCTTGGGTTCGCCAGAGCTCCCCTTTCAGCGCCATGCGACAAATGTCAGTTATATTTAAAGAACAAATTTATTAGGGGGAAGGACAGAAGTAAAGGGCACACAGACCTCTTGGGAGGGGCTCCTTCCTTATGAGCCTGTTTGCTGTTGATTTTTAATAGAATCTGAATGGGATGGGCGATCCATTGCCATATCATTGTCTTTCCTCTTGGGTCTGTGATAAACCCAGCCATACAGCTGTCTGCTGCCTTCTTGGACTTTAAACCTCAAAATCTAGGCCTTGTCACTGCTAATCCCTTCTACCCAACTCCCTTGTGCGTCAGTCTTGTGACACACCTGCCCTTTTCCTACATCACCCTCTAAGAGGATGCTGGGCACTGGGGGGCTAAGCAGCCAGGCTGTATATGACCAAGCACGTGAGGGTTGTTGGTTTCCCACTGACTTCAGCCTGAGCCTGGGCAGCTCTGAAGAACTGGTAGGACACCTTGGCGATTTATTTCTCTCCTTGGGTCATCACTCTAAATTTCCCCTCTTTGTTTTTTTAGATTTAATCATCTGCATACAGGAACTGGGGTACAAAGCCAGAGGTGGGAGGTGAGAGCATTTACTAGAGATGGTGGTAGGCTGGTTGAAATAGGGGAGCAGCTCGCAGCAGGTCAGACAAGAGAGGTCTGCCATACCATGTGGGTTGGCTTGAGTCAGCTCCCTGGCCAGGATCTAACTTGTGCTGCAGTGGCTGCCAGTCACTTCATAGTGCTGTGCTTTAACTCCTTACCTCACCTCATCAGGGGGCCCTATTGTCCCCTTTTAAGTACACTGGTGGGGCCTCACTTTTTTTTTTTTAAATTTATTTATTTATTCGTACAGAACTGGGGTACAGGCCAGAGATGCGGAGGGTGAGAGGATTCACCAGAGACAGAGCGGGAAGCAGAA